AAAAAATAGTGGTACTCCGCGATTAAATGCGATTTTAACAGTGTTCCGGCCGTTTATTGTTATTATCAATAACTGTTGATTAATCTACGTACTTTCAGCTACAAATTGAGTGCTTCAGCTAAACGAAAGCTGTCCGTATAACGGTGTACGAGCTGTCCAAAGTGAACTAACCGGGGTACGCATGACGAGAAAACGTGTCAACCGTTGCAAATAAATTGCGATTTTAATAGTGTTCTGGTCGTTCATTGCTATTATCAAGCACAGTGGATTAATTTACGTACTTTCAGCTACAAATTGAGTGCTTCAGCTAAACGAAAGCTGTCCGTATAACGGTGTACGAGCTGTCCAAAGTGAACTAACCGGGGTACGCATGACGAGAAAACGTGTCAACCGTTGCAAATAAATTGCGATTTTAATAGTGTTCTGGTCGTTCATTGCTATTATCAAGCACAGTGGATTAATTTACGTACTTTCAGCTACAAGTTGAGTGCTTAGTCAAGACGAATCAGCCGTTTTAGGGTACGAATCTATATTCTGTAAACTTCGAATGGAATGCACGACGAAGAAAAGTGTTGCCTGTTTAGTGGTTATGTAATTGCAACAGGTTTCGATCGGATTTACACTGCTAAACGAGCATCAGTTTTCCTCGTCATGGATCACATTGGAAGTTTAAAGAACGCAGATTAGTACGCTCTAGCAGGTGGAAACCAGTAATTACAAGAACATTGTTAAAATCTCATTTGTTTGCAACGGTTGATACTGCATCTCGTCATGCGTACCCCGTTTAGTTCACTTTGGACAAGTCTTACAGCGTTATATGGACAGCATTCGTCTTGACAAAGCACTCGATTTGTAGCTGAAAGTACGTAGATTAATCCCCTGTCATTGAGAACAACAATAAACGACCAGAACACTGTTAAAATCGCATTTAATCGCGGAGTACCATTATTTTTTTGACTGGTGGCGCCATCGGTGGCGAATCGCTGAAACTGCTAACCAATTATATGGCTAGCAGTTTCAACGAGTCGCCACGGATGGCGCCACCGGTCCAAAAATAATGGTACTCCGCGATTAAATGCAATTTTAACAGTGTTCTGGGCGTTTATTGTTATTTTCAAAGACAGCGGATTAATCTACGTTCTTTCAGCTTCAAACTGAATGCTTGGTCAAGACGAGAGTTGTCAGCATAACTGTGGAATAGTAGTCCAAAGTGAACTAACCGGGGTACGCATAACGAGGAGATACAGTGTCAACCGTTGCAAATAAATGCGATTTTAACAATGTTCTTGTAATTACTGGTTCCCAACCGGTAGAGAGTACTAATCTACGTTCTTTAAGCTTAGGTTTTAATGCGTGACAAAGAAAAAAGGCCAGTTCAGCAGTGTAAATGCAATCGAAATCTAATGTAATCAGGGTTGCCGCTTCATAAGGGGCTGCGTTTATATAGGCAGGAATAATTTTACTAATTCTGGGGTTCTCCAGTATTGGGTCCATGCATTTAATCATCAGGAATAATTTCAGACTAACGACGTTCATTTTGAGCGCTTAATTACTGAGATATTTGCATTTTTTCATAATTGGGAATTTTCACTCACCTGTCGGTATGATTTGGCTAGCAGTTTGAGCGTATTGCCACGGGTGGCACCACCAGTCGAAAAAAATAGTGGTATTCCGCAATTAAATGCGATTTTAACAATGTTCTGGTCGTTTATTGTTATTGTTAATGACATGGGGTTAATCTACGTTTTTTAAGCTACACGTCGAGTGCTTGGTCAAGCCAAGTGTTACCCGTATAACGTTGTAAGAGCTGTGCAAATGTGAACGAAACAGGAAGCGTATGCCGGGAAGGAGTGACTATTTGTATATGATGTAGAATGTAGAATGCAAGCAGATGCATAGTGACCATAAGACCACGCTGTCTATTATATGTGTCTATGTCGAAAACACATACCTATTATATAATATTTGTATATAAACAAGCTTCTGCGTATAGTAACTATGTAAGCAAAAGAAGAAACGTATAGATTATAAAGAAGTGTTAAGTAATCTTTTAATTGTTCTGAATACCCATGGT